TGCATTTGTTCTCAGTGCGGCCTCTATTCAGAGATGTCACTGGTCCAACCCAGGTCCTGCAGGGGCCTTTCTGCGACTTGGGAGCCTCCAGGCCTTTGCTCTGTGCACAGTTCCCAAGCTGGGGAGAGGACGAGGTGGCAGCAGACCCTGACCAGAGGGAATATCCTGCAGCCCTCTCATTGGACGGTTCCGCGCCACAAGCCTTAAGATTTTGAGAAGCCTCAACAACGATGTGTTCCCTAGGGTGGCAAGTAGCAAAGGGAGGTCATTCATGGCATTTGTCCCCTGTCCCTTGTGGGTAGAAACAGCCCGCCGAAGCTGCTGCTTTGTCAGGTCTGGAGAAGGTGTGGAAGGACAGTTCAGAGGACACACCTGGAAATGGGAGTCCGGATACTAAAACCAGGGACAAAGTGTTACCAAAATATTCCTGGATGGATATAAAGTCAACATGGAATAATAAAATGGCTTTGTGATATTTCTACACATCTGGGACAAGTCGCTTTGCACCTGGCTAATGCTGGGCCTGGACAGCTGGGGTGGAGGAGGGGCAGGGTGGAGGTGAGAGGATGGTGTCTACTCTTTGTGAGTGGCCTGTGGGCCCCTCAAGAGGGAAAGCCCGAGAAGGTGACTCGGGGGAGTCTCCACCATGGTGTCAGGTTGCCGAAGTCCTCTTTGTCCTCACGGCTTTGGGTGTGGAAGGCCACCAGACCTGCACTTAAGTGGGTCAGCTGCTCACTCAACAGGGAGGAACCGAAGACTCTCCGGCCACCAGCTGTAAGAAATCGACTCCCGCTGGTGACATGGGGCTGAGCTTGGAAGCAGATCCTCCATCAGGCCCCTGGGAGACCTTGGGCCACAGGTACCCGGTCGCGCTGTGGTGGAAGAAAGAGAAATAACCTGGAAGCTTCAGCGTCATCACAGAGCTGCTCCAGGCTGCAAGCCCCTGGGATCTGGGCCTGCCCTCCTCCCTCTCCCACCCCTCCCCTTCTCCCACTTTCTCTCGGCCACGCTGGTGAATGTTTTGGTGGCCATTCTAAGCTATTTTCTGGAAAAGTAGCTTTTTTCTCTAAGCCTCTCTCAGACGCCTCCACCTGGCCTAGGGTCGCACAGTGAAGGCTCCCAGAACCCTCTAGCTAGTGACCCCAGCCCTGTCTCAGCACCATGACAGCACATGCTCCCCACTGTGCTTTTCCTCACATTTCATCCACCGGCACCCTCCCCCCCACCCCCACCCCACCTCCAGCCCGGTGCTTGTGCACAGCGGGGATCACATGGGCCTTTTTAGCAACCCCCCACCCCCACCCCCAGCTTAACATGGCACCTGGCACAGGGTGAGTGCTTGGGACACAGTTGTTCAAGGAAGAAATCGGAGAATCCAGGACCCTCGACCTCTGACCGGCTGAGATTACGGACGTGGATTCTAGTCAGAGATGCAAGTCCAAGGCAGGGGAGTGTACAGGATGACCTCTCATTCCGATTTCACGAAAACAACAGCCCTTTTGGGCCCCCCAGAGCAAAGGAACAGGACCTGCACAGCCCATGAGCACTGGGGGGGCTCCTTGGAAGCCTGCCTTCCCTCTCTTTGCCTACAGTGCCTTTGGGGTGTCCTGTTAACCCTTGAAGCATCCACACTACAGTTAGTGCAGTGACTCCAGCCACAGGAGGCCCCTGAAGCCCCCCACAAGAACGGATCTTTCCTTCAGACACTGAACCCCATGACCTCAGTAGGGTCACTATGGGTCAGAACCAACTCGATGGGCCCTAACAGCAACCTGAAGAGACACAGATCACTCACAGATACTGGTGCCAGGTATTCTAACGAATGTCATGATTCAGGTTTCAGATCTTTCATAGCTGATACAGAAACGCAGGGCAGATGGGTCTCCTGGGCGTGGCAAACAGAATTGACTAGAGCGTGGTGATGAGAATAATTCTCTTCTTTTATTGCCCGATTCTTCACTGGGAGTTGTTAAATAAGGGGGGAAACCCCTCCGAGGCCCTGCGCCTGTTAGGCTAGGTTCTCTGGAGAAGCAAAACCAGTATGGGAAAGAGAAAGATGTGTATCAAGAAACAACTTACACAGATGTAGAAACAGGTTAGTCCAGTCCTGTGCAAGCCAGGCTTTCCCTGACTCAGGGAAACTGGTGGACAGGATGCAGAGACAGCAGGGCGCACAGGCTGGTGGATACAGAAATCCAAAGTCTGCCGAGTGAATCCACCCTCGGTAGTCCGCTGACGGCTCCTGGAACCGGCCAGCCATGCATCTGGCCAGATCAAGAAGCAGATGCCAGATCCTGCTCCGGCAGAAGGTGAAGGGCCAGAGAGGAATCAACTCTGCTCAGTCTCTCTCTCGTGCAAAAAGGCTATGACGCTACGTGGGTGCCATCAGGCTGTGTGACCCAATTGACTAGTTAGCTCTGTCCCTACCCTTACCCAGGAGTGTCTAGTTAACACAGTCCCCAGCCATCACACTTGCCCTCTGGATCGCTACTGATCCCTTGAACGGGTCTCTCTGGACCACAATTCCCTCTCCTTTTATCTTCAGCTTAACTTTTGGTGATTGTGGTCAAGGCTCCACAGGACCTCGTCCAGACGGCTCTGATTCCAAATCACACCGAAATCTTCCGCGTGGAAAGGGGTTGAAGACCTGTTGGCGAATCTATTGGCAGAAACAAGTGATTTGTGTCCTCGGGATGGAGTGGACCCCTTCCATTTTGCAATGGAAATAGAAACATGCTGTTGTTCAGGTATGGCTGAGAAGCGGCCGTTTTCAGGTACCTCGGCATGGATCGCCCCCCTTTCATAAAGATGAGAGCAGGAAGGGCAGGTTCAGAGGGACTCCAGTGCAGACTGACCTGCGAGGAGACCAGTCGTTCACCAAGATGACCGCGAGGAGGCGCGCGGCCACCGCTAAACTCCGAGCGAGTGGCTCCCCCACTGCTCCCACCGCCGCCCCGGCGCCAGACGCGGCCCCGCCTCCGTCTCTGCCCAGAACGTCCCAGGTTCGCGACCACGTGCAGTCTGCGTAGCCCACCGGGGCAGGCAACTGTGCCCCGTCCCATAGGGTCGCTGCGAGTCAGCATCGACTCCAGGGCATTGAGTTTGGCTTTCTGGAATAATGCTAGAGCAAGAGTTATTTTACGAAGTATCCAGTTATTGAGCGCTTTGATCACTAGAAATAGCAGGATAGACTCCGGGTTGTTTCTCCAGAGAAGGAACAGATATAGAGAAAGAAAGGAAGGTGATGAACCAGCAGACGAGATTTCGGGACCTTTCAATCAAATGGCAGGGACGCGCCCAGTGCCCGGCTGAGAACGATTAGAATCGGAGGGAGGAGGGGACATGTGCATCTTCTCTCGGCATGCTTTTATTATTTTTAGTGGGTCCCTTTCCCTGTAGTTACTATATTATATTATTGTATAATATAATACAATATTACTATAGTTGGGGGAAATGGAAAAATAACTATTAAAGCGCAACATGTTAGGGGAAGTATTTTAAATCAAGATCGGGATTAATTGTGATTCCTGTCTTGGCTCTAATGGGGAGAACTTAGTGTTTTCCAGATCTTTGCTCATGAGCCGGTGATGATCTGACATCGTGTTGATGAACTTCAAGCTCACTGATACAGCGCCACTGCAAATATTCCCAAGGCCACTTCCAGTGCTGGAGATTTCACTCATCCAGGCTCATGAATCCCTTTGCTGGACCCGAACCTCAGCACTGAGTTTATATTACAAAGTCCTGATGTTGAATCCTGAGTAAAAACATGGAAGACGAAGTCTCGGCAGAAGTTTTGTCACCCTGAGTGGATAGCAACGATATTGCATACGACCTCTTTGCGTCATTATCATAGGTCTGGGCGCAGCGTTTGTTGTATCAATACCATGGCTTTCTAAAGTCTTGATTATATGAACGGGAAGAGCTTGAAAACCAGGTTTTCCTTTCATTTCAGTAAGGCCGATAAGCCTTTCTTCTCAGGAGCGCAGACCTACCACTTCACCACCACTTTGGTTCGTGAGGAGCTTCAGCTGGGGGACGCTCAAACAGTCAAATGATCTTCTTCTGTGTTTGACAGCATTTCGGCTCCGGCCTGATTTCCTAAAAGCATTATAGATTGCTTTTGAATTGCATCACCAAATAAGAAACAAATTACTTTTCTTTCTTTGCCCCCTTGGCAATCATTTAATGAAATGACCTAGACATTTGTTTGAATTGTTTCGAGACACTTGACAGGCATGTTGTTTTTTGTTATGCGCCACCAAGAAACAAATTACTCTTCTACAATTAAGGTTTAGCTCAATTTCGAGCATCCCAGCGTGTGGACTTCCAGGCCTTTTGTTGTGAAAGGTATATTATTTTGTGCCTCCCCAACCCCTGCACCAATAAAAACCCCAAACCCAGCAGCCTTTGAAATAACATTTGATGTTGCGAAATAGCTCGCCATTTTTGGTTTCTCTGATTTTGCCACTTTTTGCATTATCTTTTAAACTATCAGTTTGAAGATCATTTGAACTCCCCTTTTCCGAAAAGTATCAAGAAAATGGACAAATAAAGAAAGTGTACTACCACGCATTCCTCAGTTTGGTTTACAGAATCAGAGTTGTGACTTTGTTCTTTGAAAAGGAATTTAAGAAGTTTACCTTGATGAAAATGTAATCCATAAAACATAATAAAAGTTTAACAAAATAGGAAGATGCACACGTTTTGTAGATTTTAATACACTTTAATGTGAGCATTTTATTAAATGGAAAAAGGTAAATATTATAAATATGGCAATGAGCCCAAATGAATCAATAAATATAGATAAATAAATAAATACATAAATAGGTCCGTCATCTTCTGAAGAGTGGAGTGTCAATGCAGCTGAGTATTTTAAGCACATATTTGCTTAATGCTATTGGCAGTTATTGTTGAATTCAATTTGACCAATTATGGCTAAAGCAAGAGTAGAGTCTTTTGAGATGACCAAACTGCAATACCAGTCTTTGAGAGTCGAGTTAAGATGAACCCAGGGCTCCATCCTTTCTTCTTAATCCCTCCTGCAAGTTTGCTGATGAAGAGAAGGCTCTTCTGATTTCCACTCTGACGACTTCCCAGGCACAGTCACTGTAGGCCTTCTCTTTCAGATAGAGACGAATTCTCCAGAAGTACCTCTTCACAGCCAGGGTTGGGCCCTCCATCGCCGAGGCAGATTCTTCCTCTCCCATCAGCTGCACCAAGCAGGTCTCCAGGTCTTCCAGCTGCTGATGGAGCTCACTGTGGAGCTGGTCCAGGAGGGTGGTGTTCCAGGCAGCAGAGGCGCGCTCTGAGTGGAAGAGGTTGAAGATCTGCTCCAGCATCTCATGGTACACGGAGAGGGCCTGGGCTTTCTGGAGCTGGCTGCCACCCATCTCCTGAGGGAATCTGAAGTCCTTTCTGTCCTTCACACACAAGAAAGGGGAGAGTTTCCTCATTTGATCCAGAAGCACCGGAGTCTTCTTACTCGCCAGGAAGTGGCTCTGAGGCAGATCACAGCCCAGAGATGGAACAAGGCCACAGCTGAGCACCACCAAGGCAGTCAGTAGAGAGAGCAGGAGGGCCATGGGGAAAGCTGAGGATGCTGCTGGCCAGACTGAGCTGGTTGTCTGGTTGAGCGTTGCAACCTAGAGTCTCTGAAGACGTTCTTTCTACTATGGCATTTAAATAGGGAACAGAAGAATTTCATTTTCTGAACATCCCTCTAAATTTTTACTTCTTTTTTTGGTTTGTTTTGTTTTCATTTATGTGTTCTCTATAGGGCCTAAGAATATTCCATTCATCTAAACTCTTAATTTTTGCAATATAATTTTAATCTTCCCAATAAATGTCACGTGTTCCAATGAAAATGGATGCTTGCTTATAGGAAACAGCTTTGTCATATCTTCAAACATGTAGAGGTGTATGTAAATACTCTTAAGCACACACACTTATTTGAGCTCGGAACAAAGTTTTAGCCCTGGTCTTGGGCTTTGCTCTTGCCCCCCAGCAGGGAGATGGAAGTCAGATGCCCTGAGCCCTATGAGTTTGTCACAAATACAGTCTTTGGAAAGCGAAGAGTAGGTTTAATTTTTTGTTTTAATCATGGGACTGGCTGATGATCGTTCGTGATTAAGAATCTCTCCCACCTAGAAGGCCTTCACGCAATTCCAAATGGTTTTTTGCTGTGTTGCTACTGCCTTACCTTTTGCTTTTTTGTGAATTGTGTGCTGGTTTACAGAGAGATGATCAGTTTAGCATTCAGCACCCTATATACCTTTTGTGCCATCTGATGGACTGCCATCACTTCTCTCATTTCCTCCCCGTGTGGCCTGTTTCCTTCCCCCCTTCTTTCCTAGCCCTCGGTCCTGGGGCAAAAGCTGCTCTTTTGATCTCAAATGGTTGATTATTTTGATGGGTGCATACTTCACTAATGTTATTGATTCCCTCATAGACTTGCCTTTTATTTGGTTGCAAATGAATCCACAGAGGTGAGTTGATTCCCAGGCCTCCGAGGTCACTAAGGGCCCTCGTCTCTATCCAACCAGCAAGCCTGGTCTCTTTCCTGCTTTGGGATCCATGTTTTTGTTTGGTTGCTTTTGCATGACCAAGGCTACAGACTAGGATGATCGACCTTGTCCTTTCTGTCCACTGTTTCCTTCCTTGGTGTCCATCGCTGCCCCTCTATTGTGGCAACACCCCTGGCAGAAATCCTACTTCCGGGAGAAAGTGATTTCGTCCTTTCCCCACCACCACCTCACTCACTAGGTCATTATACCAGGGGACCACTCTGTCCTCTAGGGAAACAGAGGGTCCTCATTGGAACTCTCCTCCACTCCCTCTCGGAGGTCCACCCACCACACGGCAATGCCTGCAGAACTCTTACTGGAAGGAGTTGGTTTCTCTGGGTCAAAGTCATGAACCATCTAGAATATTCACCGGTGTGCCCAGAGTGTTCGCGTGAAGGATGCTAGTTCCCAAGCAGGATCTCCTTCTCTCCTGAGCTGTGGACCTCCATAGCAAAGGTGTCCTCGGCCTTCAGATGCTGAGAACGAAAGCTTCACCTGTCGGTGCCGGTGGACAAATTAGCCAGTTGTACACGTGTTACTTTTAGTAACCAAACAATCCTCATTTCACCGCACATAACAGTTATTGTTTAACTTTTTACTTAAACTACGGAACCCTTGGGATTCGTGGCATTTCGAGCTTGCCATCATCTATTTACATCCATGATTTTGCCTTTAAACATTTTGTGACCTCTTTTTTACATTTTCTTCACGCTGCCCTTGCCTGGGCCCAGCAGTCATGCTGCTCGGCATTGCTCTGTTTCCTGCGGACCCAGAGAAGCAAATGAGAAGCTAAGCGACTGTATCCTTTTTCTCTACACTTTGCAAGACATCAGCACCTTTTTGGTTTCTTCTTTCAGCTTTCCTAAAAAGCGAACTCTGGTGGTTCGTTGTGGGCAAAAAGAAAATCAAGATGAAAACGGAATGTCCTGAAAGTGAAAAAAAGGAAGTGACCGCTTAGCTGGCATACTGGCAAACTGTCAGTCAGCGGAAGAGGACCAGAGCAGACAGGATGGATGAAGGACCGTCCTGAAGGGAGCAAAGGCCCTGAAACAGCTGCTCTTCAGGAAACTCCAATGGGCCGGGGGACAGCCTTCCACTTGCCAAGACCTGGCTTATCTTGTGTTTTTTTAAATCATTTTCTTGGGGGCTCATACAGCTCTTATCACAATCCATCCATCCATCCATCCATTGTATCAAGCACATTTATACATTTGTTGCCATCATCATTTTCAAAACATTTTCCTTTTACTTGAGTCCTTGGTATCAGCTCATTTCCCCCTCTCCCTCCCCCACCCTTCTCAGGAACCCTTGATAATTTATCAATTTTTTTTCAGGTCTTACACTACCTGATGTCTCCCTTCACCCACTTTTCTGGTCTCCGTCCCCCGGGGAGGGGGTTATATGTAGATCATTATAATCGGTTCCCCCTCTCTCCTACCTTTCCCTTCCCCTCCTGGGTTGATACTCTCTTTGTTGGTCCTGAGGGGTTCATCTGTCCTGGATTCCCTGTGTTTCCAGCTCTTTTCTGTACCTGTGGACATACCCTGGTCTAGCTAGATTTTTAAAAAGTAAATCATTTTATTGGGAACTCTTACAGCTCTTATCACAATCCATCTATCAATTGTGTCAAGCACATTTGTACATATATTGCCATCATCATGTTCAAGACATTGTCTTTCTACTTGAGTCCTTGGTACCAGCTCCTCTTTTTTCCCTTCGTTCCCTACCCTCCCACCCTTGTGATCCCTTAATAAATTATAAATTATTCTTATTTTCATATCTTACACTGTCCTCTGTCTCCCTTCACCCACAGTTCTGTTGTTCGTCCTCTTTGGGGGGGGTGTCATAGCTGGATTTTTAAGGTAGAATGGGGATCATGATAGTGGGGGGGGGCACATTAAAGAACTAGAAGAAAGCTGTGTGTTTCATCTGAGCTATACTGCACTCTCACTGGCTTGTCTCTTCCTTGTGACCCTTCTGTAAGGGAATGTCCGATTGTTACAGATGGGCTTTGGGTCTCCAATCTGCACTCCCCCTCATTCACACCCAGTATGATTGTTTGTTCAGGGTCTTTGATGCCTGACACCTTGTCCCATCAGCACCTCATGATCACACAGGCTGGTGTGCTTCTTCCATGTGGACTTTGTTGCTTCTCAGCTAGATGACCACTTCTTTATCTTCAAGCCTTTAAGACCCCAGATGCTATATCTTTTGAGAGCTCAGTACCATCAGCTTTCTTCATCACATTTGCTTATGCACCCAGTTGTCTTCAGTGATTGTGTTGGGAAGGTGAGCTTCATGGAATGCTGACCTAGCTTGTCTTTCATGTAACCCCCATGGGATGAGCTCCAGGAAGAGAGAAGCGTCTGTTGCCAGGACATTGGTTCCTTTAGGCACGATAATGCCGGAGTGCTCTTGCCTGAGCATTCTGTCTAGTTCATAAAGCCACTCAGGCAATGAGTAGATCAACTTGAGCAACCCAGAATTAAGAGAAGGGGACTTGGCTGATATTGATAAAAATGATAACCCCAATTGTATGACATGCTAAATATGGACGAGCCTTTGTTCTGAGACATTGACAGATATTAACTCAGTCTTCTCTGAAAACCTATATGGGCTATACTCATTTCTTCAATGGCTTGGAGAAAACTACGTGGTCTAGAAAAATGCACTGTGAGAATGTAACAAAGTTCTAAGGTCAAAACCATAGGAAGAGTTGCAACCATGGCTTGTCTGGAAGGGCCCCGTAACGGAAGTGAAAGATCAAAATGGATGTGGAAATGACCAGTGAAAGAGAGACTATGGCATTGAACCAGTAACTGGGGAGGGTGAGATGACAGAGGATTCTGAGTTTTCAATGCTAGAAACTCACAATCTCGTATTTTGCACGGTGTAACATGGACGATGGGTTACTCACTGGACTTCGAACTCCAAGTTCAGCAGTTTGAAGCCACTAGCTTTCTGAGGGTGACAGCTGAGGCTTCCTGGGGGCTGTGACAGAGTGCTGGGGGCGGGGGAGGGGAGAGGGGCATTCTGACCATGTCCATGGATCCATGGGAGAATGTCGGACCTTCAGCCTTCTCCCTCATCTGAATCCAAAGAACCTGAAGACACGGCAAAGGCAATGCTGCCCGTGCTATGTTCTACCTGCTGAGCACCTGCCATGGTCCATCATCGCTCAGCATCTCAGTGCTCCTTCTCAGTCCTCCAACTCCCACGGATTCTTTCAACTGGCTTCAAGTTCCCGGGCGTGCCCTTTGCTTCGTGGGCCGAGAGCTCTGTGCTGGCTGGAACTTCTTGTGGAATCTGCATGTGTATGAGCCCAGGCAGGGGCAGGGGGCGCTTCTGGATTCTTTTATTTTTTTTTATTTGTTTATTAAATAATCATTTTATTAGGGGTTCATACAACTCATCACAATCTGTACATACATCATTTGTGTCCAGCCCATTAGTACATATGTTGACTTCATCATTCTCACAACACCCGCTTTCCACTTGAGCCCTTGGTGTCAGCTCATTTTTTCCCTCCCTCCGGGCTCCCCCCTCCCCCTTGATAATTCATAAATTATTATTATTTCGTCATATCTTACCCCATCCAACATCTCCCTCATCCACTTCTCTACTGTCTGTCCCCCAGGGAGGAGGCCATATGTAGACCTTGTCATCTGTTCCCCCTTTCTCCCTCACCTTCCCTCCACCCTCCCACTATCGCCACTCTCTCCACTGGTCCTGAGGGGTTCATCTGTCCTGGGTTCACTGTATTTCGGTTTCTATCTGTGCCAGTGTACATCCTCCGGTCCAGCTGGATATGTAAGGTAGAATTGGGATCATGGTAGTGGGGGTGGGGGGGGAGCATTTAAGAACTAGAGGAAAATTGCATATTTCATCGTTACTACACTGCACTCTGATTTGCTCCTCTCCTCCCCGCAGCCCCTCTGCAAGGGGATGTCCAATTTCCCTTGGATGGGCCCTGAGTTCCCATTCTGCACTCCCCCTCATTCACAATGTTATGATTTTTT